ATATAAATGCCTAGTAGTGTATAAATCAATATATAAATGTATATATCCATTTTTCTAATATACTGACCCCATATATAAATGCCTAGTAGTGTATAAATCAATATATAAATGTATATATCCATTTTTCTAATATACTGACCCCATATATAAATGCCTAGTAGTGTATAAATCAATATATAAATGTATATATCCATTTTTCTAATACTCTCCCCCTATATAAAATGCCTAGTAGGTATAATCAATATATAAATGTATATATCCATTTTTCTAATATACTGACCCCATATATAAATGCCTAGTAGTGTATAAATCAATATATAAATGTATATATCCATTTTTCTATTTTTCTAATATACTGACCCCATATATAAATGCCTAGTAGTGTATAAATCAATATATAAATGTATATATCCATTTTTCTAATATACTGACCCCATATATAAATGCCTAGTAGTGTATAAATCAATATATAAATGTATATATCCATTTTCCTAATATACTGACCCTATATATAAATGCCTAGTAGTGTATAAATCAATATATAAATGTATATATCCATTTTCCTAATATACTGACCCCATATATAAATGCCTAGCAGTGTATAAATCAATATATAAATGTATATATCCATTTTCCTAATATACTGACCCCATATATAAATGCCTAGTAGTGTATAAATCAATATATAAATGTATATATCCATTTTCCTAATATACTGACCCATATATAAATGCCTAGTAGTGTATAAATCAATATATAAATGTATATATCCATTTTTCTAATATACTGACCCCATATATAAATGCCTAGTAGTGTATAAATCAATATATAAATGTATATATCCATTTTCTAATATACTGACCCCATATATAAATGCCTAGTAGTGTATAAATCAATATATAAATGTATATATCCATTTTCCTAATATACTGACCCCATATATAAATGCCTAGTAGTGTATAAATCAATATATAAATGTATATATCCATTTTCCTAATATACTGACCCCATATATAAATGCCTAGTAGTGTATAAATCAATATATAAATGTATATATCCATTTTTCTAATATACTGACCCCATATATAAATGTCTAGTGATGTATAAATCAATATATAAATGTATAAATCCATTTTTCTAATATACTGACCCCATATATAAATGCCTAGTAGTGCATAAATCAATATATAAATGTATATATCCATTTTCGTAATATACTGACCCTATATATAAATGCCTAGTAGTGTATAAATCAATATATAAATGTATATATCCATTTTTCTAATATACTGACCCCATATATAAATGCCTAGTAGTGTATAAATCAATATATAAATGTATATATCCATTTTTCTAATATACTGACCCCATATATAAATGCCTAGTAGTGTATAAATCAATATATAAATGTATATATCCATTTTTCTAATATACTGACCCCATATATAAATGCCTAGTAGTGTATAAATCATATATAATGTATATATCCATTTTCTAATATACTGACCCTATATATAAATGCCTAGTAGTGTATAAATCAATATATAAATGTATATATCCATTTTTCTAATATACTGACCCCATATATAAATGCCTAGTAGTGTATAAATCAATATATAAATGTATATATCCATTTTTCTAATATACTGACCCCATATATAAATGCCTAGTAGTGTATAAATCAATATATAAATGTATATATCCATTTTCTAATATACTGACCCCATATATAAATGCCTAGTAGTGTATAAATCAATATATAAATGTATATATCCATTTTTCTAATATACTGACCCCTATATAAATGCCTTGTAGTGTATAAATCAATATATAAATGTATATATCCATTTTTCTAATATACTGACCCCATATATAAATGCCTAGTAGTGTATAAATCTATATATAAATGTATATATCCATTTTACTAATATATAAAGCCTTAATATAAATGCCTAGTAGTGTATAAATCAATATATAAATGTATATATTCATTTTTATAATATACTGACCCCATATATAAATGCCTAGTAGTGTATAAATCAATATATAAATGTAATATCCATTTTACTATACATTACTGACTTTATATATAACTGAAAGTTAAAAATTAAAAAAAAAATCTTTAATCTTTACAATTTATTTTCTCGAATCATTATTAAAAGTGCATAACAATAATTTCAATTACTTACAGTAATTAAGCATAATAATTACAATATAATAAAATTAAGTATAATAGTAATAGACGATTAATATAATATAATAATAATATATACATTTAAAAAAAAAGCTTCTTTAGTTCGTTATTTGCACGATGACAAACAAGACAAGAAACTCGAATTGTTAAAAAAATTTATAATTAAGTAGTAAAAATTAGTTCCAAGTTTAATTTAATTAAACGCAGACAATTTTAAAATGGGAATGGATAATTATATAAATGCTGTTTGTAAAAAAAAATTACAAAAGTTTTAAAAAACATTTACAAAAGTTGTAAATTGCAGTGATGATGATAAGTAACTTTAAGGGCTAGATAGATATTGCATGGTATATATATATATATATATATATATATATATATATACTTCTTATATACTTTCCTAACATCACATAAATACATGAATATATATTTAAATATTAAGACTAAACTTTACTATTTGCAACATTCGAATTCCGCAACGAAATGCATCCTTCGACCCAAAAATTGGGCCTGTCCAGCATGGACCTCCAAAGGGCCATTTCTCGGTCGTGGGAATCCATCCATTCTACTTGTTTGTCCTGGTATTTTCCTAAATAAAAAAAATTGGATTAAAAATTTTCATTTAGAACAAAAAATGGTAAAGAGATACCTGGTAGTTAGAAAGTCCTAGAGGAAAGACCTGGGTAAGGAAAATTTTGAGTAATATATATATATATATATATATATATAAATATATAAATGTATATATATATATATATATATTGATTGTTTCCTTTCCGAACAGTAAATCTAATAATAAAAAACAATTTGTTTTTTAAAGATATTTAATAACGACGTTTCGGAATTAAGTACGTTCCATCATCAGGTTTATTCTGTCAAATACAATGTTTTTTAAAACTATTGACTAACATTAATTAATGATGGTTATTACAGATTATTTAGAAAAATTATAGAGGAATGGATTATGTACCATCAGTGTAAAGAGTAATACAAATTAACTAAAAAAGGTTTTATATAAAATTGAGAAGCAAAAATTATTTACCTGTAATAATTTATATATCCATATCACTAATATTTTTTTGTTAAAACAACTCGATTTTTTCCGAGAATATTTGTAAATGTTTTGACTTCACAAGACATTAACACACTGATGTAGAGTTCTGTCGGCCAGATGTAAGGGATATGTACGGAATTTAGGCAAAAATAATTTTTTTTATGGCTCTTGTATTGGTAATTCACAAAAAATGGGAATGTGTTGCTTCAGTAAATGTTGAGAAATATTGTGTATATATACATGCACATACATATGCACACCTACACACACATACATACATATGTATATATCTATATATTCATGTATATATATAATTTGTATGTATATATATATTTGTTTGTGTATATAATTATATACACAAACATATACGCAAGTATATGTATATAGTGTATATATAAAAACATACATATAAGCACATATATGGATGTGCATATATTAACCATACAAATGCATGTATATATATACCCAAAAATTATTAAAGGATTAATTGTTTTTAATTAGGTTTAAAAAATTTAGATACGAGTCATGAATGATATTGTGATCTGATCTTTTATTAACACAATTTGACGAATTCAAAAAGATTAAACTGCTTTCAGAAAGAAGTCTTTTAAAAGTACAATTTTCTCTATATGAAATATTGGGTTCAAAGGTAAAAATATGTGAATTTTCAATGGAATGTTGGACAAGAGTGCTTTGGAAACTTCGGCTTTTATGATGAGTGACGCTTTTTTCATGTTGTCTCATTCTCTTATGAATGTATTGTGATGTTTGGCCAATGTATTGTTTTTGACAATTTTTGCAAGAGATTGAATAAACTATGTTAGTATTGAATTTAGGAGGGGTGGTGGATTTAATTTTTGAAAACATTTCTTTAAAAGAATAACAATAAAGAATAATAGAAAACAATATATATATATATATATATATATATATATATACTACTACTACTACTACTACTACTTGATAATTCCCACAAAGTGAAAATGTATCAGTTCTTTTGTTGATACTTTTTTTGTTCAATTATATAAAGCAACTTTATTTATTAATTTTTCTCAATTAATTTGACGGTATTTTTTTTTTATTTTACCTGTTCCCAAGGACAATCGAACCATTCCCAAAAATTCGTTGCTCCCCAATCTGTCGTGGTCCCAAACAGTCAATTCCAAGGCCCTTTCGTTAAGGTCTTGCAATGTGACGTCATCGTAGACAAAGGTGTAGTTCCAGGCAGGATTCAGGCATCTCCTGATGACCGGTGTTTTCTGTTTGGAACTTCTTCCTTTGTCAGGTAACAGGTAACTAGAAAAAAATTCAATTTGTTTATTTTTTTTCTTGAAAATTTTAAATATTTTCTTGCAAAAAGTATATAAGTGTTCTGAGGTTCTTGTAAGTTTTTTCAAGATCTTGCAAATTGTTCCAAGATCTTGTAAAGTATTGCACGATCTTGTCAAGTTTTGTAAGATCTTGCAAAAATATTGTAGTGTCCCAAGATCTTGTAAAGTGTTATAATCTTGTAAAATGTTAAAATCGTGTAAAGTGTTAAAATCTGTGTTCTAAAATTTTGTTAAGTTTTCACCAATGTTGCAGATTGTTCCAAGATCTTGCAAAATGTTCCAAGATCTTGTAGAGTGTTTTAAGATTTAGTAAACTGTTTCCAGATTTTTCAAAATGTTTCAAGATCTTGCAAAGTGTTTTAAGATCTTGTAAAGTGCTCAGCAATGTTGTAAAGTGTTCAAAAATGTTGCAAAATGTTCTAAGACCTTGTAAAGTGTTCCAAGATCTTGCAAAGTGTTTCAAGATCTTGCGAAGTGTTTCAAGATCTTGAAAAGTGTTCCAAAATATTATACAGTACCCAATAATGTTGTAAAGTGTTCTAAGATGAACAAATGTTCCAAGATTTTGAAAAATGTTCCAAGATCTTGCAAAATGTTCCAAGATCTTGCAAAATTTTCCAAGAACTAGAAAAATGTTCCAAAATCTTTCAAAATGTTCCAAAATCTTTCAAAATATTGCAAAATCTTTCAAAATGTTCCAAAATCTTTCAAAGTGTTCAAAAATCTTTCAAAGTGTTCCAAGATCTTTCAAAGTCTTCTAAGGTCTTTCAAAATGTTAAAAGATCTTTCAAAGTGCTCCAAAATTTTGTACAGTACTCAACAAAGTTGTAAAGTGTTCAACAATAAGATCTTGGAAAATATTTCAAGATCTTGTAACATGTTTTAAAGTCTTGTAAAGTTTTCTATAATTTTGTGTTTCAAAATTTTGGAAAGTTCTATAATCTTGAAAAGTCTTCTATAACTTTATGCAAAGTGTTTCAAGTTATTGTAAAATGTTCCAAGATCTTGTAAAGTATTTCAAAAATCTTGTACAGTGTTCCAAGATCTCGTAAAGTGTATCAAAAATCTTGTAAAGCGTTCCAAGATCTTGTCAAGTGTTCCAAGATCTTTTGAAGTATATTCAAAAATCTTGTAAAGTGTTCCAAGATCTTGTCAAATGTTCCAAGATCTTTTGAAGTATTTTCAAAATCTTGTAAAGTGTTTCAAAAATCTTGTAAAGGGTTACAAGGTCTTGTCAAGTGTTCCAAGATTTTTTAAAGCATTTTCAAGATCTTGTAAAGTGTTTCAAAAATCTTGTCAAGTGTTTCAAGAATCTTGTCAAGTTTTCCAAGATCGTTTCACGTTGTTGTAAAATGTTCCAAGATCTTGTAAAGTATTTCAAAAATCTTGTAAAGTGTTCAAGATTTCGTAAAATATATCAAAAATCTTGCCAAGTGTTCCAAGATCTTGTTAAGTGTTCAAAAATCTTGTAAAGTGTTTCAAGATCTTTTAAAGTATTTTCAAAATCTTGTAAAGTGTTTCAAAAATCTTGTAATGTGTTTCAAGATCTTGTCAAGTGTTCCAAGATCTTGTTAAGTGTTCAAAGATCTTGTGAAGTGTTCCAAGATCTTGTCAAGTGTTTGAAGATCTTTTAAAGTGTTCCAAGATGTTGCAAAGTGTTTCAAGATCTTGTAAAGTGTTCCAAAATCTTGTAAAGTGTTCTAAATTCTTGGAAATTTTCCAGGATCTTATAAAGTGTTAGAAAATCGCGTAAAGTGTTTTATGATCTTGCAAAATATTTCAAGTAAAAAATGTTGTAAAGTGTTCGAAAATATTGTAAAGTTTGAGATATTACTAATTTTTTCAAAATCTTGAAACGTGTTCGAACATCAAACAATATTTTAAAGTGTTCAACCATATTGTAAAGTTTTCAAAAATGTTGTGAAGCGTTCAAGATCTTGTAAAGTGTTCCGAAGCCTTGTAAATTGTCTTATAATTTTGTAAGGTGTTTCAAGATCTTGTACAGTGTTCAACAATGTTGTAAAATATTGCAAAATATCGTATCGTTCTTATAAAGATCGATCTTATAAAATGTTCCAAGATCTTGCAAATTGTACCAAGATCTTGCAAATTGTTTTAAGATTTGTAAAATGTTTTTACATCTTATTCAGTCTTCAAAAATATTGTAGTATTCAAACGCTGTGCAAAGTGTTCTAAGATCTTGCATAGTATTCCAAGATAAAGTGTTCCAGAATCTTATAAAATGTTTTATAATTTCGTAAAGTGTTTCGAGATCTTGCTAACTATTCCAAGATATTCTAAAGTGTTCAAAAATATTGTAGGGTGTTCAAAAATGTTGTAGAGTATAGAAAATTGTAATATATTCAAAATACTCAAGTGTTGTAGAATTTTCAATTGCTACTTTACCTTTTACAGAATGGATCAGAAGTTCCATTAGCCTTAGCACCTGTTAAATTTTTGGCTTCTTTGACCAAAACATGCAAAGATCCTCTCGACTTCTTGTTTTTCCCTGCCTTACCAGAAGCACTGGTATCACTTCCTGGTGGTACAAATTTCAAAGCCAACATGACGTCACCTTTGTGACTAACTGACTCCTCAAAAGGCTCCGTCTGGGGAATAGAAATATAAAAATAATCAAGAGGAAACAGAAATATAAAATTTACCAAGAGGAAACAGAAATATAAAATTTACCAGGAGGAAACAGAAATATAAAATTTACCAAGAGGAAACAGAAATATCTACATTAAAAATTTACCAGAAAAGTATAATTTGTCTTTTATCCCTTACCCTTTCCTGGAGAGGATACCAAACTGGTGCAGGATCATCAAACACTTTGTCCTCCAAAGGCATCATGACTTCTCCTAAAAAGTCGTTGCGACCAAACATGTCGGAGTGCCAAACTGTCAACCATAAAGTCCTTGTCTTTAATTCTTCTAAAGATAAATTAAAGCTCAGAGTTTCCTCGAAGATTGGATTCACAGTATGCTTCTTCACCTTGGTCTTCCTCTTACCACTCTTGGACTTGTCTGGTAGAAGGTAAACCTGGAGAAAAACAAATGGTAATGGTAATCTCTATCAAATTTTGCTAGTTTTTGGGGAATTTACCTTTACGTATGGGTCAGATCTGTTTCTCTTGGCGTCGACTTGGGCCAGATCTCGACATTGTTTGATTCTGATCATCAAGGAATCAGTTTTGTAGTTGTATTGAAGGCCAAATTCGACTTCTCCTTTGACTGCAACGGTTCCGTATCGACCGTCACCGGCTCCTGAGTAGACTGAGGCCATCGAATCAGATCGCAACTGAAACCAAATTGTTAGGTGTAAGTGACATTTTGCTAAAAAGCAACTAAATAAATTAACTATCTAGTATATTATCTACTTACTCCGAGCGACGACAGACTCCGGTTGCTATGCAACCGGAGCATCCTGTCGTTTCCGGAACCAATTCCGGTGACGTCATCGTCCTGAAGACCGCCAGTGGCGGTCCAATCTTGGCCCAGATCTCTATGATGACCGCCGGCGGTCCTTAGACGAGTCAGGGGCGAACTGTTGGCCGAAACTCCACTGTCATCTGAAAAAAAAGAAAAAAAATCAGCAATTTGCAATACTTATACTGAACTAGTGGTGTATGGCATCGTGCCTTAAGGCAAATTGCTGGAACTTCCCGTACCGCAATGAAATATTCGAGAAATTTTAAACGTTTTCAAATATATTATTACAAATACTATAGCTTTCATTATTTTTGCTATCATGTTTGCTATATCTGAGCAAATCAAATGCAAATCATAAATCATAAATCAATTTATCTCCAGAACATTAACAATCGTCATTTCATTTTGAATTCAATTAAAAAAAAATAACGCATTTGCAAATAATTCTGTGTGACATTTTCGCTTATACTGTGCTCAGCTTGGCGGCATTTTCACATTTTTCAATATTTGGTTTTCACAAAATTGTACATAACCAGTCTAAACGCACTTGGGTAAACATTTGCACCAGAGTGGCGCTTAGACTGCGCTTAGTCTGGGTAATTTTTTAAATTTTTAATCCAAAATTACAAAAATATTTTATGGAATATAAAAAAGATATAATAATTTTTTATCCTCAAAAGCAATTGTTTTGTCAATACAAGCAGAAAGTTTTTTGAATCATTCATTCAAATCGGACGATTAGTTTACTCGAAAACTGCCATTTTTCGCACATTTAGCTCTATATCTTCGAAATGGCGGAACCTGTCTTTTCCAAAAACTAATCACCTCTTTTCCCAATCATTACAAATTGAATGTTTTTTAGATCATTCAAATCCGATACTCCGTTCTCTCAAAAACTCGATTTGTATTTTCTGCACTCTTTGCTCCGCATTAGGGTTTGTCAGTTTTCAAAAACCGGTTTTAAAAACCGGTTTTTGGCGAAAATTATGAAATTCGAAAACCGACTTCTTCTTAAAGAAGTAACTTCTTCTACTCAATATTAAAAAAAGAGATTTAAACCCTAGAAGCCACAAATAAAAGAACAAAAAACTTAGAATTATTATATTAGGCTTTATAAACAATTAAGTATAATTTGGTCGAAAGTATGAGAGTATTTTATATTTCTGGAAATTTTGTGAGTAAACAAAGGACACGTCTAAGTAGCAATTCGATAGACGTTCTCAGTTTCTTTGAATCATATTTTATTAAACAAAAAAAAAACAATTAGAATGTTCGAAATTAATTAATTAAAATTGCTCGGAACAGACAATACCTGAGTTTAGCTTAATTGTTTTTAAAACTAAAATTGATATTAACAAGTATGTATCAACATTTATCTATCATTTTTTTATTTTTTTTTATTTAATGAACTTTTGTTATTTATTAATGTATTATTTTTATGTATTCTAAAACTTTCCTGTCACTATCATAAAAATATTTTCATTCTTATATGTGAAAATGATGCATAAATAACAAATAATTATTTTCAAAGTTATTTAATCAAGCAAAAATTTATTTTCCATACAAAGTTCGACAACCGGTTAAAACCGGTTTTTTAGTAAAATTAAAATTCGAAAACCGGTTATATGAAAAGTCGGTTTTCGTATAAACCCTAATAACAACCCTACGGAAAGTTAACAAATTCCTGGAAATCAATTTTATCATAAATCCTGCAAAAAAAATCTGGTTCTTCTTACCAGCAACCAGAACTTCAGAAGTCTGATCCTTGACTTTTTTCTTCCTGGGAATACTCCTATCGTACTCCAACCTCTCCAGAAATTTATCCCTGGTTCCCAAAATGTCTCCCAAAAACGTAGTGCCAATTTTAGGTGAATCTTTCCATTTACAATCTTCAGATCTCCTCAAAGTCGCCTCTCGACTCGGAGTCAATGGTAAGGTCACCATAGAAGAGGAATTACTTGGCCCATCATTATTTTGGGCATTCAGAGCCCTCAATTTAGCATTAAAGTCCTCCACTGGCGGAGGAAGACTTTGGTCAATTGTTTTTTTCCAGAATTTGCGACAAAAGAAAGAAACTTTTCTTGTATCCTCAACAGAATCCAAGTCGTATTTCCTACTACCTTTCTTCTTGCAGTAGATGCAACCAAGACATCTCTTCCTGAACCATTCCTTAAGGCGTTTTTTTCTGGTTTTTCGACCAGGAGGTTTGTATTTGATTCCAGATGTGGATGGGAGTTTTATTTCGTACATTTCTGGATTTGTTTTGGATTTTGAGACGAATTTGAATGTTAAATTCTCTTCGCTGGCGGTGCTGGTTGTATTGTAGAAGTCTTCATTTGCAAAAGTGCTGTAGGTGCTTGATGTCGATTTGTCGGGTTTTTTGGGAGATTTTTTGTACTTTTTGGGGAATTTTAACATTTTTATACTTCAAATAATTTGACAGAAAAATATAAAATTCTGTTTTACAAATATCACTCATAGAAAAAAAATTGACAGAGTTTTCTTTTCTAAAGAAACGTACACATTTTTTTTAGAAATATATATTTAATTTTTTTTATTATATATATATATATATATATATCTATATATATATATATATATATATATATATATATATATTGTAAATCGAAATTACTATAAGTTTTGTTTTTTTTAAATTATTATTTGAAAACACAAACAATATTATTCTCTCGATGTTATGAGATCGGCTGTTGGAAACGAACTAACTAAGTCTGACTAACAGAATTTTCTGGAGAATTTCTTGGAGTAACATCAAGTAAAAAATAAAAAGAGGCAAAGATTTTTTTAAAACATCTTTATTTTTCCATACGTTTCGACGTAAAATTCTACGTCATCGTCAGTGGTTCTACAATTCAAAAAAAAACAGAAAGTAACGTTAAAAGTTGAATATACATAAGCAATAGTAAAAAGAAAAAGATTTAACTAAAGACACAGACTAATTATATCTAAACCTTAAATTAAAAAATGCATAAAACATTACTTACTTGAATTTCTTAGATTATCACTTACACATATTAATATAGCTTGTAAAAATTAATAATTGGAAACAAGCACCAAATGTCAGTAATTTCTTTTTTATAAAAAATAAAAAATAAAAAGTAATTATTTTAAATAAAATATTATACGTCAGTACACGTGTAATCGAGGCCAAAGCCAAACAGAATAATGATTTTTAAATCTTTTAAAATTTAAAAAAAAATCTTTACTTATTTATATTTTTTACTAGATATTACGCCCGGCAAGAAATTAATCATACATTTCAACATCAAATTTAAACACTTTATATATATATATATATATATATATATATATATATTTCAAAGTAACTAGCAGCCCATTCGTCGAAATAAAAAGCTATAAAATATTAAGAACTTTTATTTATACGTTTCGACACCAGATGCGTGTCATCATTCAGCAACACCAGGACAAAAACACTCAAAAAATATTATTTTAAAAAATTATACTTATAACATATTAGAAAGAGATTTTTTTGAAAAAATAATGAATAACTACAAAATTAAAATTAAAAACATTTTGAAAAGCCGAGCCTTTTGTTTTTATATTTATATTTATATTTATATTTATATTTATATTTATATTTATATTTATATTTATATTTTTTTATTTATTTATTTATTTATTTGGCTTCAACCTTATGGTTATCTAGCACATTACAGACATTTATAATATTAATTATAACTATATATATATATATATCTAAACTTAACTATATACATATCGATACATATATCCACATACACACATGCACATATATATTTATATATACACATACACATACCTACATATACACACAGATATCAATAAAGTGAAACTTAAATTTTTATTTTGCATTTAGTAATAAAGTCCATAACGATTTTATAAATTTGTATATTGTTTGTAGCGACTAATATGAATGTATTTATTGGAAATGACATTCCCTTTTCACTCAGACATTTGTATAGTTTATTACGATGTTCATTGTGAAGATGGCATTGCCAAAATAAGTGATCAATTGTTTCTGCAGCTCCACATATGCATTTGTTATTATCTACGATCCGAAATCGGTATAACTGGTCTTTGCACAATGTATGATTGAATCGCATTCTACAGAATATTGAAATCAATTTTCTATCGATGTCTAGTCTTTTATTAAACCATGTATTGAATTTTGGAGATGGATTGATTGCAGCATATAGCCTTCCTTTCCTTTTTGATAAGGTTTTAAACTCCTCTTGCCAAGTTTTAATGGTTTGTGACTTTATCCAATAAAATAGATCAGTACATGGAACTTTATAAGGGTCCACGTCCTGATCCCATGCCTCTTTCGCAAGATTGTCGGCTATGTCGTTACCAAATATGTTGGAGTGACCTTTTACCCATAATAATTTGATTGAAAATTTATCTCTAGTTAGTTGTATTATAATTTCTGTAGTTTTTAAGATAAGTTTATTTGATTTAATATTTGGCTTGTTGATAGATTTTAATGCTGCTTTGCTGTCCGAAAGAATAATCACTTTATTGATGTTATTTTGCTTGATATACTCTAATGCTAAATAAATTGCTAATACTTCTGCAGTGAAAATTGATGCAATGTCCGGCAACCTCACTTTTCTTTTGTATTTAAAATTGGGGATGTAAATAGCACAACCTGTTTTTCCTTGTCCCCTTGACCCATCTGTATAGATTTGTATGTGATCAGGCCATTTTTCATTTATGTAAGTCTCCAATTCCCTGTTCCTGACGCCAATGTTTAAAATATTTGGTTCAATTGGAAACGATGTAAATATTATATCGGGTTTCTCAAACTGCATTATCCAGGGAAATTCAAAAAGTGGTATGATTTTATTTATAGTTATATATTCATCAAACTTTTTGAAAAAATAAAACTTGATAATAATGGTGGAGTATTTTCTTGAACCAAAATTTTTGGTAATATGGTGATTTGATAACAGTTGTAATTGGTTTGGAATTTCTTCGCAAGCCGAATTAAATTTTTTCGTAAGATATTTATTTGATAACATTTGGATTCTCAGCTGAAAAGCTATTTCACCTGCTTCCGCAAGTAAGCTATTTGTAGGAGTTGATTTTAGAGCTCCTAGGCTCAATCTAAGTGCTGAATATTGCAATCTATTTAATTTTTTGCATTTCAGAAGAGTTATTGTGCCGTAAATAAAACATCCATAGTCCATTGAGATCTTATTAAACACTTATAAATCATCAAGCATGATTCTGGGTGAGCTCCCCAGCTGGTATTAGCTAGTTTTCTTAAAATGTTTAAACCTTTTTCACCCTTTTTGCATAATTCTTGAATGTGATTTTTAAAACTCATTTTGTTATCCAAATAAACACCGAGTATTTTTACGCATTTTTTAATGGGAAAGTCTAAACTGCCCAACCTAATTTGGTCTTGCTGGTATGACTTGTTGTGTCTGGTGAATATTGTTATTGAACTTTTACTTGAGGATATACTTAGATTGTTTTTATTCAGCCAATTTTGTAGTTTCTTTATTGCTTCACTAGCCTTCTTTATGCATATCTCAATTGATGGTTTTGCTACATATATAAACAGATCATCCGCATACTGTAAGATTTTGATATCGTTTGATTTTATTATTTTGATCAAATCGGAGGTATAAATGTTAAAGAGTAGTGGGCTAAGTATTGACCCTTGGAGAATACCCGTATTTGTTGTTCTTGGCCCTATAATTCCATCCTTAGTTTTGATATAAATTCTTTTTTGTGAAATAAGATTCATAACGCAATTAATTGTAAGTTTTGGAATCTTAAACTTTCGCATTTTATTTTGCAAAATTTCCTGGTTTACGTTATCGTATGCTTTTTCGATATCTACTGCAATAAATAGGAGGTAGTTATTATTGGAATTTGAGATATGAATATCGTTTGAGATAATGCTTATAACATCCATAGTGCTTTTACCTTTTCTAAATCCAATTTGTAATGGACTTAATAGATTTTGGTTTTCGATAAACCATTCCAGTCTTGTTTTAAGTATTTTCTCAAATGATTTTGCCATGCATGACGTTAATGCTATCGGCCTATATGAATTGACGTCGAATGGAGATTTATTGGGCTTACATATTGGTAACAAACAAACATTTCTCCAATCTTCGGGAATCATATTATTTTAATTATCTCGTTAAACAGATTTACAATGATTTTTTTAAATTCCCTAGGGGATTTAGAAATCATAGAGTAATGGATGTTATCCATTCCTGGCGCAGAATCTTT